GGGAAATGTCACTGCACTCATGGAAAGTGTGACTTAACACTTTCCAGCTGAGCCCTATGCAACCATGGAGACCACCCCACATGAAAGCCACTGTGCCACACGTGGCTGCAGACACTTGACATCCAGCTGAGGAGTTCATTTTAATTTTTTATTTAATGTACATATCAATAATAATGTGTGTACAGCAGCTACTGCCCAGTGAGAAGACAAAAAAAGAGCATCTTTAGATGCTACAGAGGAGCAAGAGGAACCGTATGTCTGTATACATTTAGGTATGTGGGTAGGTCAACAGTGTCGACCTGAATACATATTCTGAGCCTTCTTTTTTTTAACATGCCCAGAAATGAGCAAACACATTCTACAAATCAATTATTTAAAATTAGGATAACCACTAAGAGATGTTGCAATGATCTTTAAAACCTGAAATTACAAAGTTTTGATGTACTGAACTTTTACATTTGCTAATGCATTCCTTTTGATTTTTTCCTGGCATGATCCTGCATGTGGATCACACTGAGTTAACAGTTTATCTGTTGGGTGAAAAAACAAACTGCAAAACAGTATGTACAATGTTATGCCAACTGTGTGTACATGCTTATATATGACTGGAATCCAGCTTGATGCCTGCTACTAAAAGAATGTTTGCAATGATGTTAACACTCTAAACCCGCCCTGGGTACACAGTAGCCACCAGCTAGCATGACTGAGGAAGCAAGGCTTAAATTCACTTAGCTTAAACTTGTGTGTATTGGGGCACATGTGTGTGCTTCAGTGTATGTGGAGGTCAAAGGACAATTTCAGAGTCATTTCTTGACTTCTACTTCGCTGAGGCAGGGTCTCTCTGGCTATTTGATCCAGTGTGCAACAAGTCCACACTAGCTGGCCCAGGAGCTTCGGGGTGCTCGTCCTGTTCCTGCCTCCCACGCCAAAGTGAGGAATTCTGGGATTGCAGATGCTAGACTGTCTCCAGCTCTTTATGTGGGTTCCAGGGACTGAACTCAGGTCATCAAGCTTGTTGTACAGACACTTTGCATTATTTTTAATTAGTTTAAGTGAAAGGGTCCCAGCAGGCTAATGGTTATCCATTGGACAGTGTGGGTCTCAACGGCTCCTGGAAAGTGACAATGGTTGGAAGGGATCAATGGGCATTACTTAAACTTGATACAGCACAGAATTATTTGTTATTCATTAGGTTTGTACCATTTGTGTGTGTTTTGTATTAAGCAGGATGGGAAGGCTTTTGCTTTGGCTATTGTAACAAACAAAGCAAAACAACTCACTACCCCCACAGATTTGATGGATTCAAGGGTGGCAGTCATTCCTTCTAGTTCAACAGACTGGAATCAGGAGGGCTAAAGGGCACATACACTTGGTGCCTGCCTGGTGAGGGCTTTCCTCCTGACTTGGTACTGTGGTGTGTTTCCCCCACAAGACATCATAGAAACGATTACTTCCCAGAATCTTTAGCTCAAATCATTATCACATTTAAATCAAGACTTTAGCTATGGATTTGGGGGGCACAACCGAAAACATGGAAGCTTCCTTTCCTCTGTGTGGTTTTTCGGGGTTGTTGTTAAATTGTTTTTATCACATCTACTAAGATCTTGAGGATCTCTGCAAATGTAACTTGGGGCTTCTGTTAGCTGGCTCTTGAACAACTGGACTTGTCTTTCTACCTGGGCAGAGGCCTAGTGAAGTGTCTGCAACAGCAAATCCAGTTTGAAAGAACACATTTAATGGGTAAACACTCTCGCATCTTCTTGGGACTCTCCAGATGCCCCAATACATGAGTGAAGGAGTCAGATGTACAACTCCCAAAGTCGGAGACAACAGTACTCATCCCCTTTAACACACTCAACACGGCTGTACTGCCATGAGCACAGCTGCCTTCCACTAGTCCTCAGTGCTCCTCACACCAGTGCTCCTCAGTGTGCTTCAACAATTACAAGGTCTCTGGACATGGGACGGCTGATGGCCCAAAATGACACTTATGAAGGCTGACACCTAAATCCAGACTTCCTAGTCTTCAACAGCTCATCAACTCACTATCAAAATTGCTTTCTTTCACCCTGTAAAAGAAAACAGGATTTCTGGCCAGGGCTGATCTGTCTGGGAGCCCCTTTCTAATCTGAAAACTGCCAATGAACCCACCTTATTTACATATACAATCTCCCTCCAATGAAGGAAGGAAGGAAGGAAGGAAGGAAGGAAGGAAGGAAGGAAGGAGGGAGGGAGGGAGGGAGGGAGGGAGGGAGGGAGGAAGGAAGGAAGGAAGGAACGAAGGAAGGAACGAAGGAAGGAACGAAGGAAGGAACGAAGGAAGGAAGGAAGGGTCCTCTAAAAAGATCAAGAGTAGGTGGAGGTATGTGAGAATAAACAGGAACAGCATGTGGAGAGTAGATGCACACAGGAGTGTGTTCAAACACAGCATTTCTGACCTGCTGACAGGGGCCATGCATTGACAAGATTAGAGAGTGGGAAACTGGGGATGGTTTGTTGAGATCACTGATGTAAAAGGGATCACAAATCCCAAGAAGTTGGGGAATTGAATGGGGCAATAAACTTAATTAGAGGATAAAGTCCATCTATCAAAGAGGTAAATTGGGCAATCAAAGTCCAATAAATTCTAGGCAGGGCAGAAAACAAGGCAGTTGTTGGTGATGGATGGGAGAAAGTGAATAGATTACAATCACAAGGTGTGCAGAGGCATGGGTGGTGGACCTAGGTGATGTGCCCATCATCAGGCTGGGACACGAAGGTGGAAAGCAAGGGTCTGGTAGCTATGCTGCTGTAAGGGCTCCAATCCTACCTTCTGGAAGGTAAACCAGTAAAGCAGGTAGAGCATGAGCGGCCTCTTGCCTGTCAGTCTTTCCTCTAGCTCCATGCAATGCGAACACTGGTGGAGTATCACGATAATCCTGCGAGCTTTCAAAGAAATGTCTGGGGGATTTAAATTCATCTTGAACTTTGGGGGATGTCACACACCCATATGCTTATTACAGAGTCTGAATAAATTAATACTTCTATTAATTTTTAAGTAGCTTATTTGTGTGTGTGTGTGTGTGTGTGTGTTGCAGATCCTTTACTTTTGCTACAGGGAAAAAAAGGAGGGGGTGTCCTAGAACACTTGCCAAAGTCTCCCATCACAGTTGCAGCTCCATACCTGTGTGTAACTGAAAAAGGAGAGATTTGTCTGCCTTTACCTTGAAGATATAAGTGATCTGAGCATTGTTTTGTAACTATGTCCCATCTTCCAATGTCTGAACTGCTTCAACCTGTGGTCTCACGAAATACAGCATTTGCATGGGCAGACTTAACCCTTTCCCTCTGGGGAATAAATTGTTAATTTCTGGAAGCTGCCATTAAAATTTACACCTCTGTTTTCCATCTTGCAACAGCTCCTCTGCTTTGCTGGAACTCTCTCTAACAGCCCTATTACTGCACTGTCGGGCAAACACTTTACCTCTCAGGCTGTCTCTGGTTAATTTCCTTGAGGGAAGAATGGAGGATGTGGCAAGCATCTCATCAGACTATGTATTAACCTATGACCTGCCTGAGAGCCGGGAACAGGCTGAGTGCTATAGATGCCTTTGCTATTTCTCAGCTGCGTATCGTTTTTATTTGTTAGGATGCTCTACAAAGGAACCCACCCCACATCCTGGTACCATCTCTGGCTAATGGGAACGTGTAGTGAGTGAATTAAACAAGCCAATTTTCACCTCACAGACAAAAACCAAAAAGCAGACACTAAAAATAATGAGACAGTGCCAATGAGATGGCTCAGCAGGCTAGTGGTGCCTGCTGCCAAGCCTAGCGACCTGAGCTCAACAACACACCGTGGGAGAGAACACTCCACAAGGCATCCTCTCACCATCACACGTAAGCCACGACGCCATGACCCCCACATGAATAAAGACGTAACAACAACAGAACAGAGAGCTAAAATATTCACTTATTTGTAAACTTTTTCTCTGAAAGCATAATTTAAGGAAGCTCATCCGGTATAACCAGGCATCTCAAATACATAATCTGAATTCCATAAATTAATTTTTTTTCACTTTGCCATGGGTAAAACTACAGTAAACTCCAGAGTCTGGCTCCCTAAGGGTTCCTTGTAACAGGACTCCAGGGAGAGGGAAGCTGTAACAGGGTGCACCTACTTTATCGGCCACCATCCTATATAGCAGGAGTGTCTCCAGGCATGTTGGTGACAGATGGGTAACAACTGTGACATCTGAAAATTTTAGTTATTGTGACTATCATTCAAACTGCGAACAAAGCCCACAGATGCTCAGGGTGGGGAAAGACCCCCCCACCTCCTTCTCCCACAGAGGAGGATCCTAGCCTGCAGCCCTTCTCCACACAGAACCATATTATCTAACTCGAGATCAGAAGAGCAGACACTTGTATATCCTGTTTCTCTATGAGCATCTGCCATTTCTAAACACATGGATGAGCTGTCATGGAACCAGCATGGCTTTCTTTTTTTTTCCTTTCTTTTTTTTGGGGGGGGGGTGTATTAGCAGAAATGTCACCTATTTCTTTCACCTGGAACTGAATGAATGTTAGAGCCTGGACATGCTTCGGGGGAAGTAAAGTATTGGTCAACCGAGTAGAAATTGACATGCAAAGAACTCAAACGAAGAGCCAGGGAAGTCTCAGCACTATTAGCAGAAAGCAGCATTGTGTCATTAATAAGCGGCTCTACCCCACATGTAGAAGAATGCACTCAAGGACTTCACTTCAATCTTTAAAAACAAGCCAGCATAAAAGTGTATGTGTGTGTGCGTGACATCCTGTTCAAGGAAAAGTGTGAAAAAGCTAAAAATAAAAGCACAGCATGCACATCCTAATTATAATATGCGTCCTCTAATTAAATGGTGAGTTTTTATTTACTTAATGTTAAATAAAAAAAACCCAAACAAACAAAAAACGCACACTGTGATCCCAACTTGTGACCACAGCATGTGAGGATTAAGATTCGATTCATAAGTACCTACCTTTTAGTTCTTCCTCTTTAATTGCTGCTTAAGTGGTTGCCTAGGAAACCTCCTGGCTAAATGGAGAACAGCAAGTGAACTCTCACATCCCAGCTTGCCAGGCTGACTTCCCATCTTTGCTTGAGCTACTGAGTCAGCCATTTGTGCAACCTGAAGGCATGGGAGAAAAAGTCTGTGAGTAATGGCCGACTTCGAATATTCCTAATAAAAATATAAGTTAAAGAAGCTAAGTCCTGCTCACATCAAATTTAGAAGAGAAATGGCTACTTTCAAAAACCCTACCACCAAGGCTTGAGATAACTCAGTGGTTAAGAGAATGTTGCTCTTGCAGAGGACCAGGGTTCAGTTCCCAGCAGTCACGTGGCAGTTCACAAGTAACTGCAGCTCCAAGATCTGTTGCCCTCTTCTGCACCCCATGGGCACTAGGCAAATATGTGGTACACATACATATACACAGACAGAACATTCACACATTTAAAAAAAACTACAAAGTTGTAATCCAATAACAAGTAATTATGGAATAGTTATTTTATGTCAGTATTGGCAAGATAGTGACTGTTAGGATAAAAGATAACAGAGACGACACTGGGAAGCCAAGGTCAAGGACATACCCAAGGAAAACACAGCCAGCAGTCATGTGATGTTCCCCAAACCCCACAGATGCCCACCACTCTAACTCCCACCCCAGCTCAGGCTCCCTGCGTTCCTTACACATCATCTACAAGGTGACTGACGTCACTTTGCTGTATGTCAAGCTGATGGTGTTGATCATGAACCACCATACAATCTAGAGTTGAGGCCTAGGCTCAGGCAGCTGTACAGAGGTTTAATCTAATCAGAGTACATATGGAAACAGGTTATAAGAGATGTGGCCCACTGGCCTTTAAAGAAAGGGAGAATCATTATTCCAACAAACCGGACAGAGATACTAATAGAAGACTCAACAATATGGCCAGCTGATACCAAAATTCTAGTACCAAGGTTCTGGAATGTGCCTGGGGAGGGAGGGTGCCCGACTAGGGGTGGAGGTAGAGAGAATCTATCAATATTGTCTCTATGTTCCCTGACCTCCTGGTGTCAATTCTGATGATTTTCTCAAATTTCCAATCATCACTTACCCACAATAATTAAAACCAACCCCCAGAGCTCAGCTGTGCAGCTGCCCCAGGGCTGCTCCAGAGGGAGGGTATGAAGGAGGGAATAGACCTGCAGGCTGGCTCCACATCTCCCCCAATCAGTTAAGGTGCTCCACTCTCCACACCAAACTGAGATAGAGCTAGGACCTTTCTACTCAGTTCCCACTATGGCTCAAAATAAAATGTGTATACCCCTCAGTCTAGTTTAGAAAGTGCTTCACTAGCATGAACCCTATCCCCTAGAAAAACGTAATGGTGCCCCATCATTCCCTCCAGCCTATGTAAAGAAGTGTCCCAAGTTTAACTGACAGAGAAAAGCTGTAGCTGTGTAACTCGCAACCTCCATGGGATGAAATAACCAGTTTCTCGGTGTGTGTGTGTGTGTGTGTGTGTGTGTGTGTACTTTATTCTAACACAACTTTCTCATGTACTTGAAATATGCGTTCTGGGACACCTTGCCATCCTCACTCAGTTGACTCCCAACTATCAAAGTGAAGGATTGTTTATTTTTCAAGGCAGGGTCTCACAGTGTAGCTCTGGCTATCTGAAACTCACAATATAGGACAAGCTGGCCTCGAATTCCTAAAGATCTACTTGCCTCTGTCTCAAGAATGCTGGGACTAAATAAACGTGTGCACCACTGTGCCAGGCTCAATTGAAAGACTTTTGGCTTCATATCTTTTCCGTTATAACTAGTCAGACCATTCTTTCTTTAAGTCCTTACTAAGAATGGAACTTCTTTTAAGTATGATTTATTTCGACTACATGTGTGGGTGTGTACACGTTACCCATGGAAACCAGAAGGTTTAAATCCTTCTTTTAAAAAAAAAAAAAAAAAAAAAGATTTATTAGGCATGAAGTGCTCTGCCTGCATGAATGTCTGCATGCCATAAGAGGGCACCAGATCTCATTGTAGATGGTTATGAAATACCATAAGGTTGCTGGGAACTGATCTCAGAACCTCCAGGAAGAAGAATCAATGCTCTTAACCTCTGAGTCACCTCTACATTCTTCTAGAGTCAGGGTCACGGGCACTTGTGAGCATCTTGATGTGGTTGTTGGGAATCTAAGTCGACTCTTCTGGAACAGCAATGCATGCTTTAACTGCTGGGTCATCTCTCCACTTCAGAGTGTGTCTTTATATACCTACTACGGGTCTTGCGATAACAGTACATGCTCTTAGCTGAATGCTCTGACTCTTCTTTCCCAACTGGTACCCAACCTAAATCAAGAATTAGGCTCTACAAGTCCTTAGCAGGGACTCTGATCTCCATGGGCCTCTAAAGCAGAAGGAGCCCTCCCAGGGATTCCACGAGGGCCTGGAATTTCCTGGAACCCTTACCTTTCATCATTTGGCTTTCATTCATTTTCTTGAAGCCCAGATCTCTCCTGGCCTTTGTTATCCCTGCAGCCCTGTCCCTATCACAAAGCCTGGTCACAGTAACTGCTCACTGAATGAATGAATACGACTGGCCTAGTATACAAGAATCAATTTTTCAGGTAAAGCTTTTATACAGTTCCCTATAGTTTGGAACAAGTCAAATTCAGTTGCTGTTAAGACTGTTGTTTCTGCCTTCCTGTAGGAAAAGGCCAAAGCAAAAACACTTTGTTTTAAGTGGTCACCATGTGGCTTCGCAAATGACCTCAAGATATGACAGGAAAAATAGAATTTTGGAGAAGGAAGCAGAAGGTATCCTCACAAAGCTGAATCTTTGTGGCACAAAAAGTATCCATCTATTTAACTCTGGAAATGTCAGGGAAGTTCTGCAGATACTCATGCCTGACGGTGAACCCTGAAACTGCCTTTTCTGCAGATGGCCGCTGGTGTTTACATGGGATGGAAGGACTCCAGCATGCCTTAGAGTCTACACCTCTCTCCCAGTTATCCTGATAATGAGGTGGCTAGAATTCTCCCAAAGAGAAAAGCCTTTCTGGGGGACTGGAGATGGTGCTGGAGGGTAAGACCAGAAAGGGCATCTCCACAGGAAATGCCAGCTTCCTTCTCAGGTAAGACTTTCCACCCCCTGCTTCATGCAAACATGCTTGCAAAGTGGAGCAGAGGGCCAGCTTCTGTATGCTGAGGAGTAAAAGTGGAGTACCTGGTTCCCAGGGGCACAAACTAAGTGATTAAACAAAGTGTCAAGTCTCCGAAGTCACAGCTCTTGTCTACAAAATCAAAAACAGCAAGGGTGGTCCACATGGAGCTTTGTTGTTGTTTCTTTAACTTTCTTGCAAGTATGCTAATTTCAGTCATTTTATTTTATAATGAGATTGTCAACTAGATTGCAGCTGTCATATCAGTGTATTCCCCCAACTGGGTCTAAAGTTACTGTTTTGAAGGTTGTCTCCAAACCTTAGAAACTAAGCCATAAAAATGCATCCTAGGGCTAAAGAGATGGTTAACCATTTAAAAGTACCTATTGCTTTTGCAGGGACCTGGGTTCAATTCCCAGAACCATATGGTGGTTCACAACCATTTGTAACTCAAGGTTCAAGGAATATAAAACCTTATTCTGACCTTTTTGGGCACCAGGCACGCATGTGGTACACATACATGCAGAAAAAAAAACACTCCTGCACATAAATTAAAAGATAAAACTCCATATATCCTTATGCCCTGAGCAAGGATGGTGGCCTAGGGCTAATGGAAGAAGGCACAGTTAAGTAGATAAAAGACAGGTATAACTTGGAATCCTGTATTCAACTTTGCTTTTCCAATTTTTTTTATTAATTACTACATAAATTTTTAGAAAGTTTTATATATGTATAGCATAACATGTATGTCATATGCAAAACATATCTGAAGACCTTACATTAAATGAACTCTAACCTAATTGGTGACAATTTTCTGTATTTAACTTTTTTTTTTTTTTTGGTTTTTCAAGACAAGGTTTCTCTGTAGCTTTGGTGCCTGTCCTGAAACTAGCTCTTGTAGACCAGGCTGGCCTCGGACTCCCAGAGATCTGCCTGCCTCTGCTTCCCGAGTGCTGGGATTAAAGGCATGTGCCACCACCGCCCTGTTGTATTTAACTTTTTGATGTTCAGACTTTGCCAGTCCATACACTAAAAATGAATAGTATTAAAACAGCACTGGTACACGGAACAAACTTCAACGAATTAAGAAAGAACACGAACAGCGCCACCCTGTATTCTACACATATGAAAGAGCCTCTGTCTGACACTGTGCATGGGAAGCTCCACATGACTGAGAATGGAACCGAAAGCCAAGTAAAGTCCCCTGCAGTGGATTAAAAATACTACTCTCGTTTTTGCTGTCATTCCAAGTGACCATGAAGTGAGCAAAGACCCCTATCAGATGGATTTTTTCAACCTTTCCCTCAGTGCAGAATCCTGAAACTGGCTCAAAGTCAAACAACTCTAAACACAGTTCCCAAGGTCAACACGAGAGGAGACTTTGAGTTCCACAGTCTTGAAAAATGACTTAGTGAGTCCTCCCAGATGCTCCATTTACAGCTGTGGGTGACAGAATGCTCCAGTGTGAAGCACAAAGTCAGTCATTCTGGCAACAGCAAATTTGTCACAAATTCTGAGACAGAATTCTAAAACACATAAAAACTCTATCACTCAGATATGCTAAAGTAATACTAGTTTAACCTTTGTGGGGTGTGGTTCTTGAGACAGGGTATCTCTGTGTAACATTCCTGGCTGTCCTGGAACTCGCTCTGAAGACCAGGCTGGCCTTGAACTCACACAGATCCACCTGCCTCTGCCTCCCAAGCAAGGGCTGGGATTAAAGGCTTTTGCCATGACTGCCTGGCAATCTTTTATATATATATACATATATATATATAAGTTTAAGTGAGGTCTTGAGTTTATTAAGAAATTAATCAGACAAAACCAAAAAATTCACCCCTCCATGCAACACAGAGACAAAATGGCCGACAGAGGAAACCTATGGCCTCCTACAGCCAACTGTTTTCAGGTGGAGGAGCAGGTGGTACTGAGGACGCAACCACAAGAGAAAGGTCGGGAATCTTAAGAGCATTTCTACAC